CACCCCAAGGTGTGTAATTTACACCCCAAAATTTACACTACAAAGTGTAATTTTCAGGGACAAATTTACACTACAAAAGCGTGTAAAAAAATAAAAAATAAAAAATGTAAAATGTAAAATTACACGCATTTGATCTTTCAGGAAGCCTCCGCCGTGGCGGATGCAGTTGAGAGAAGGCTTCCCCTTGGTCGGATGGCTCCCATGCTCTGGTATTTGGGAAGCCGACTGCGACCCACCTAGCCTCTCGGCGCAGTCTCTGCTGGATATGAGTCGGGAAGTTTCCCTTAAGAGCGTTAGAACCATCTGCGAGCACCGGTCCCCCGACATGGAGCCCGAAGTTTGGGCGGCAACGCTACAGGAATCCGAGAATGGCTGGCTGACGTTTCGGCCAGACCAGACCATCCAGTCAGGCTGCATAGTATCTTCGAGGTTCGGAGTTAAACAGAAAAACAAAGTGAGGCCAATTGACAACTTTCGGTCCAGCCTAGTTAATTCAACTTGCGGCGTCCGCGAAAAGGTGGCCATGGACGGAGTAGACGAGATAGTCTCCCTTTGCCTCCATTGGCTGCGCAGGAAGAGGCCTGTTGACCCCGACGTTCGGGTCGTGGGTCGTACCTGGGATCTAAAGAGCGCGTATAAGCAGCTCGCCGTGCGCGCTGACCACAAACGTTTTGCGGCGATATGTATGATAGATCCTAAAACAAACGAGGTCAAGATAGCTGACGTTCACAGCATGCCATTTGGCGCTCTCGCGGCAGTGCACGCTTTCCTGCGTTGTGGTGAGGCTATCAAAGCCATCGGGCGATGCAAGCTGTTGTTGGTCATGACCAACTTTTTTGATGATTTCACTGTCCTTGCGTCCAAGGGAAACAGCAAGCGTGTGGGACTCGTAGTCTCTTTCCTCTTTCGGAAACTCGGATGGGACGTAGCCCAGGAAGACAAGAAGAACGCTCCATTCGGGGAAGTCTTCGACGTGCTAGGGGTCCGCATAGATCTGTCTCAGCAGCATCTTGGATTGGTATCTATCTGGAATACTCCAGAACGTCTGGAGGAACTTCGAGCCGACGTTCGGCGGCTTTTGCTGGACCAGCGCATCAGCTATGAAGAGGCCCAGCGCCTCAGAGGACGTTTCCTCTTTGCAGAGCAGAACGTTTGGGGGCGTAACTCCAGGCAAGCCATTGTGTGCCTCGAAGACGTCCCTGATACTAGTTCTGGGCCTGTGCCCCTCACTGAAGGCCCAGCTGTCAGCCCTGCGTTTTCTGCAGAGCAGGGTCCTGGATGGCAGGCCCCGTTGCTTTTCGTGCCAGCCTCGCCAGGAAGCACGGTTGTGGCTGGACGGGGCCTGCGAGTGGGACGTTCCCTCGAGCTCTCCAATCTGCGGCTTTGGCGGGGTCTTGTTCCTTGGAGACCAGATCCTCGCGTGGGGCTTTGAACTGCCCCGCGCCGAAGGGAAGAAGTGGGCCGAGCGTGTCGGCAAGCAACAACTGGTTTTCGAATGCGAGCTTCTGCCCTATTTGATTAGCCTGCAGTTGTGGGGCACGTTGCTCAAGGCCTGCGACCTGATGATTTTCATTGACAATGACGCAGCCAGGGCGTCCCTGGCAAAGTCCTTTACGAGGAAAGAAGAGGGAGCCCGAATCGTATTCGAGGCGGTGGAGGAAGAAGAGAGGCTTGACGTTCAAGCCTTTTTCATGCGAGTTCCCACATCTAGCAACATCGCAGATGGTCCCAGCCGAGGGGATTTTTCGATGGTGTTGAAAATGGGGGGACGTCGCGTAGACTTTCCCCCCAATGCAGTCCGGATAGCCTTGGGCCTCTAGCTTCATCAGGTGGGGGTGCGTGAGAGGCTCTATCAAAGGGGTCTGTTCCTGTCTCACGCCGCGTAGGCGTTGTACAAAGCGATCCAGCTGTTGTACAGCCTGAATGCTACCCCACCTCATTACGCTAGACGTAAAAAGTCTGACCGGTGGGTTCTCCTTAAGTTAAGGAATATAAGCGGAGCAATAAGCGACTCACTCTACTGGGCTCGCCCTGTTGGACTGTTGCAGGCATCACCCCCCGGGTGGGATCATGGGTGGGACTCAGCTATTCAGATCGCTCAGCTTTACGCTTCAGGATTTTGAGAAACCTTTTCGAAACATGTTTCTTGATTTGATTGATTTCTCTGAGTTATTTGCAAGAAATTCTGTCTCAGCATGTTCGTTCTTTGAGAATTCGACGTGCGAAATGTTTAGGCTCAGTTTTCAGTTTTGATAGGGAGGGGCTAGATTCCTGCGGACGTAGCGTGGAATGGCCAAAGCTGCAAGGACAAGAGATCGCTCGTTTGAAAGAGCACTTTGGAAGCCCATTACATTTGCTGGCAGCGTTTGACAGCGAAGATGAGATCAAAGAGCTGATCGATGTTTATTGGCCAGGGATTGGATCTGATGGAGTTAAGGAGCGTGTGAAGACTCTGCTTAAGTGGTCGGCAGATAACGCCAAAGCGGGCAAGCGGCGGAGGCGTGAGATTCTCCGAGATTCTTTGGAGACTCTTCCGTCTCGGCCAGCTAGGCCGGAGCTGGCAAAATCTTTTGAAGAGGCCACGAGAGACAATCCTTTGGTCTTGCTGGAAGGCCTAGCGCGTCGCAAGAAGCTGCTCAGAAGTGAAGCGGACCCTACGCAGAGGGCGAGTGAAGAGAAGGTCGCACGTGAGAAGTACGCCATACTTTTGTGTAGCTTCATCAAGGAAGCTAAGCTGCCAGTCACCGAGCAGCTGCAGGACGTTTCAGATCCGGATTCAGTTTGGAAGAGGTTGTTCGGCAACGGTCGTAGCAAAACCTTGAGAAATAGACACAAGGCTTGGTCTCATTTTAGGATGTGGCTGCAGTGTACACAGGGACTTGTCTGGCCCAGCAAGCTTACGCACCTTTTAGATTATAGCCATGAACGCTATGGTGAGGGTTGTGGCAAGACAGTGCTGGACTCCTTCCAAGCGTCCCTTTCTGTCTTAGAACTTGCAGGGAAGGTTCCAGAGCCCGAAAGATTTTCGAAGGACACTACATGGATTGCACAGCTGAATTCTTTGACGTCAGACCTGAAGGCCGCGTCTGCACCAGTGCGCCAAGCCCCGATGTTGACTGTGGCTATGGTTGTGTCCTTAGAGCTGCATGTGGTCAAGAAAGATGAATCGCTATTTGAGAGGGCCATGTCGTGGATAGCTTTAGTGGCCGTTTTCGCCAGCATGAGAATCGATGACCTTCAAGGAGTCATTCCTAAGTCCATGGCCCTCACTGATGCAGGTTTCAGAGCCGTTCTTGGGCGCACCAAGACGACGGGCAGTGACTGTAGGAATCACGAAGTTCCCATTTTCATCCATCGCAACACATCTCTTGCAGGTGTTCCATGGCTTGAGGAGGGTTTCAAG